GTTTCTTTTACCATCAAACCTTAGATCACTGCAAGAATACCTACAAAGAATATGGAGGGTGCCCTTACCAGTCATGTACAGTGCACCTTCCAGACAAAGACCAAATGTTCTCTCTGGTCAGTCATAATACGGGTTTCAATATGAATCAAGTTAACTATGCTATTTCAGATCCTTAGGACCAACATTGGGTACAGGGAGTCCAAGCTGCAGTCTATACTGGCTGGCATTCCTACCCAGTGGCAACATTGTCCATCTCAATGGAATATGTTCCGACACAAAATGCCACAGTCCAAGTCTCCCAGGACATCCTCCATTGGGAGTAAGTCCTATAAAATCAGGTAATATCATCAGAAAAGACCAAGATACCCTCAACCTGGATTCATATAATCCAAAACACTATACTCTTGCTAAATAAAGTAACTCTTTTGGGTCTAATACCTCCTCTTATTTCCTCTGTGCTTCCCTTCAGAGGCCTCTACTGGCAGCAGCCCAATTGATCTCAACACCATTACGACCAAGATAACAGACACTGCTTGCCAGACTCATCAACTCTCAGAGCCCCCATGGGACTCCAATCACAACTACCCCTGCTATCAAACTGACACCCTTGTCGGCTTTCATTCCTGTACTTCTAACATTTTGGTTAACGAATAGATACCTCCTTAGAAAAAAACTTCTGTGTCTTTAGCATCATTACAAAGACAGCTCACCTCCCTGGCACAGGTCGCTCTACAAAACCAGTGGGCTCTGTTCTTGTTAATGTCTGATAAGAAGGGGTACCTGCCTGTTTCTCAGGAAAGAATGGTGTTACTATATCAGTGAATCACGGATTGTAGAACAAAATGTGGAAGGCTTAAAGAAACTACGCAAAGACATGGACAGGGAAAGCGGGGGCTCCAACTCTCCGCTGACATGGTTTCAAAACCCTATAGTCTCATGGCTCCTCCCACTCTTAGGGCCAATATTAATGATAACCTTATTTTTTCTTTTTGCTCTTTGTCTCCTAAAATTCATACAGGCTCGCATTCGGGAAATGTCTCATACCAACTTTAACCAACTCCTTCTCCACCCATATTCTCGCATCCCTGCAGAGACCTTCATAACCAGGCCTGAGCCACCCCCTTGGTCTTCGCCCCCTTTCAGCAGGAAGTAGCCAAAGAAAGAACCCGTTGCCCTTTTTCCTACCAACAAAAGGCTGGTATGAAAAGTCAATGCAGGAGGCCAGAATGCAAAAGCCCACCAGGAAGCCTACCTGGGAACAGGAATGCAGAAGCCTGCCTAGAGGATTCAGACAAAGAAACTCCCCCCGCCCTACAAATCTTTTCGCACCTTACAAAATTTTTCCCGCCGTAGGAACCCAGTTTCCCACCTGACCTCTCCTCACCCTATAAAAGCCTGCCTCCCCCTGACAACATGTGCGGCTTCACTGACCCCTACCTTGGGTGCGTGAAGTCCACCCTGGGTGCAATAAATTTTCCCTTCCTTTGAGAAAGCTTAGCCTGGCTCTCCTTTTCTTTACCGCGCTGAACCTTTCAAAAAGCAGCAAAATGGACCCAAAAAAGGCAAAACAGGGCTACTTAATACCTCAAGAAGATGACATCACAAGAAGAGAATAATTCTCCAGAATCTACCACAAGGATATAGAAGGGGTGGTACAAGGGGTTAAGATGCAGCCTGTAAGGCTGTCTCAGCCTCTGCAGCATGGGTTCCATCCCCGGCCAGCCAGGGAGCAGCCCACATGGCGCAGCAGACCTCTCCTGTCTTGCCCTCTGCTCCCCTCAGCAGTGTATTTCAGTCAGTCTGCCTGTTCTGTTCCCCACTCTGTCTCTGGTGAGTCCTCTCACCCCCCGCACCTCTGGCCTGTGCCCCAGTTATTGTATGCATAAATAAATCTTTTTTTAAAAAAGCTACTGTTTAAAGGCATGGAAGGTTCTATCTTTCTATCAGATTGAGTTGAAAATTGCCATAATAAAGAAAATCAAAGAGATAGAGGAAATCACAGAATTGTCAAAGAAATACAACAAAATTCAGTAACCAACGTTATCTCAAAAAATTTTAAGATTAACATTACATGAAAAAAGGAAAAACTGAGTAATTGGCAAAAACGTAAGTTCATGAACCCATCAGAGAGTTGAGGTTGCAAGCACCCAACTAGCCTGAAATCTAGGGGATGAGATAGACAGAAGCACCTGAAGATGGCATCACCAGAGAAGCAGGTTAAGATTTCTGCTAAAATTTTTAACATTATTAAAGGTCAAGTGTGGGCTGGTAGAAGGGTGGAGAATCTTGGAACTTCAGGCACAAAAAGTTTCTAACCCACTTGCAGGCTCTTCTTAGACCACCTCCAGGCATGAGAAAGACGGGTAGGACCAGAGATTGTTCTCCCTCCTCAGACATATCCATGAGCTCATTTCCACTTTACAAGTTACCACAGGTGTGTTTGCCAATGGTTGCCCTACCACAAAACCAAAGTATCCTTTTTCTAACCTCTAGTCAGCAGTTTCTAACATTTCCAGTCACAGAAGTTTCTTCATTCCTTTAGAGCTGCCTTCTTGCTACCCAGGTCCAAAATCAATATCCCTTTTTAAGTTTTCATTATAGAAGCATCCTATTTTTGATACTAACTTCTGTGACAGTTACTGCTGCAAACCAACCACTTTCCATGATAGTTCTATGTCAGCACTTGAGCTGGGCAGTTCCACTGGTGTCATCTAGGGCTGCTCTTGCAGCTCAGTCAGCTGAAGGCTTGCCTGGAGTCAGATGATCTATGTTGGCCTCACTCACGTGTCTAGTGGTTGATGCTGATGATCAGCTGCTTTCTCTGTGTGGTCTTCATCAGAGAAGAGGATGGCCTAGGTTCCTCCACTTTGCTCAGAAATTTTGCTCTGAAAGTCTAACCACATAAAAAAGGGAAAACCCCAACAAGTTTTTCAAGCCTCTCATATGTCATGTTTGGTAACACTCCATTGGCCAAAGTCAAGTGATAGAGATAATCCTCAAAGGGGGAAAGAAATAAACCCCAACTTTTGATAGGAGGAGCAGAAAGGCGCAATGAAAAGATACATATATATTAAGGGATGGAAGAAATTATTGTAGGCAACCATCTACACCATCATCATTATTCACCAAAAATGCAAATGAAGGTACAAGAACTAAAAAATAAAAATAAAGCACAATAATGTGCTTTATAAATAAAGCAAATTAAGGGCCTCCCCGGTGGCACAGCGGTTGAGCGCTGGGTTGCTAAGCTGCCCGCAGCCTCTGCAGCGCCGGTTCAATCCCCAGCTGCTCCCAGCCACCGGAGAAGGGTCCCACATGGCGCACAGACCTCTCCTGTCGCCCGCTGCTCCCCTCAGCAGTGTACCTCGGTCCTTCTGCCTGCTCTGCTCCCCGCTCTGGCTCTGGTGAATTATCTCACCCTCCCTCGTTTCTGACTGTACCCAGTGCTTGTATAAATAAATAAATCTTTATAAAATAAATAACTAAATAATCTTTAAAAAAATAAAATAAAATAAAGCATATTTATATGCCCACTAACAGACCTAAAATAAAATTGACAGTAGCATGCATAGTGAAGAATGTGAAACAAATGAAATTCATTCATTGACAGTGGAAATATAAGTTGTTTTAGTGAAGCTAAAGATATGACTCCCTAATCCAGCAATTCCCCTCTTAGGTTCATACTTCATAAAAATGAGCATATTTATGTCCACAACAAACTTGTACAAGTTTGTTGTACAAACTGTTGTTCACAGTTTAATTCATAACAGCAAAACTTGGAAAGAAACCAACTATCCACCAACAAAATGGAATTTTTAATTGTGGTATATTCAGACAGTGAAATATTACAGCAATAAAAAAAATGATGTGGCACAGATAAATTTCATAGGCACTATATTAAGTGGGGAGGGGAAACAAACAGAAAAGGGAATACTGTGAGGTTCCATTTCTATGAACAGGAAGAACAAAACCATTGTGAGGTAAGTCAGAATAGATTACCACTAGGGACAGGGTTTGACTGGGCTGGACCTCAAAGGGACTTTCTGGGGAGATAAAATAATTTATATCTTGATGTGGGTGGTGCAAACATATATAAAATTCATCGTGTGAACTAAGATTATAAACTTTTGTATAAGTTATTGCTCAGTTAAAAGTATTTTAAAACACATTAAAAAAGCAGCTCTCCTACTTGCCTGCCTGTGACTATGCAGGTATCTTTTTTCCTTTCTCTTTTTCCTAATAAGCTGTCCTTTTAAAATCTAAAAAAATAAAATAAACACATTAAAAAGAACTCTTCAAGAACAAATATAAATAGAGTGAGGTACAATGAAGCAAGCATGGCTTTTGGAGACAGACTGCATCACATACCACCTATGTTCCCTTATTTAAGTCATCTCAGAGTGCAGACCTGTTTCCTCATCTGTGAGTTAATGATAATAACACTACCTAACCCAAGGTGTCACTGTGAGGACTAAATAACATAAAAGAGTCAAAGCTTAGAGTAGCTACTATCTATTAGTAGTAAGCTCTACATTATTACTTGGTATTACAATGATGAATGGCTGAGTATCACTAGAGAGAAGCATGGTCACTTTATAAGAATAAAGAAACAATTTGCTGGAAACTTATAAAATATAAAAAAAAAATCTTTACATTTAATTCAAAATAAATTGCATTTAGGGCCTCCCTGGTGCCGCAAGGGGTTAAGATGCAACCTATGAAGCTATCCACAGCCACTGCAGCATGAATTCGATCCCCAGCCAGGGAGCTACCCACATAGCACAGCAGACCTCTCCTAACTCGCCCACTGCTCCCCTCAACAGTGTATTTCAGTCAATCTGCCTGCTCTGTTCCCCACTCTGTCTCTCTCTGGTGAATCCTCTCACCGCCCCCCCCACACACACTTCCGGCCTGTACCCCAATCTTGTATGCATAAATTAATAAATCTTTTAAAAATAATAAATTACATTTAATTCAAGACAAATTTAAAAATTGACAGAATTACAAGGTTTATTCAGTAATACATTATCCTGGGAGGAGAATTTAACAGAGCTCTCTAACAAATGACAGATTAGAGATTGCTATGGGCTAAATGTGTGTCCTCCAAAATTCATATGCTGGGGAATCACATTCACTAACCCCAAGGTGATAGTATTAGGAGATGGGGCCTTTTGGGAGGTGATTCAGTCATGAGGATGGAGTCTCATGAACGGCATTAGTGTCCTTAGGGACCCTAGAGAGCTCTCTTGCTCTTTCTGCCATGTGCGAGACACAAGAAGATGGCCATCTATAAACATGAAATGGGCCCTCACCAAAAATCAAATCTGTTCACCTTGATCTTGAATTTCCCTGCCTCCAGAACTGTGAGAAATAAATTTCTGTTTATAGCCATCCAGTTTATAGCATCTTGAACTGACTTAAGAGACCAAAATTTATAAATGCAGAGATTTTTAAACACAAGATGCTCAGTCTAGTAGACATATGTAGAATACAATCATTTCAGCCACATATGAAACATTTATAAAACTGACCATATACTAAAAATATCAGTTAAGAGATTACTCTTAGACATAACAAACACATCTCTACTCTCCCAATCAAAAAAAAAAAAAAAAAAAACCATGAAGAAATATATATTAAGGGGGTTGTAATTGTATGGGGAATATAAAAAAAAATTTAAATTAAAAAATTAAAAAAAAAGAAATAAATATTTTCCATATAACAAGATGCCCAAGTAAACAGCCCAGAGTTGGTACTGCCACACAGAGATCACACAGATACCAACTGGGGGCCAGGATGGTTTCATTTCTGGCCATACTCTTTTCAGTTCTGGACACTGCCTTCCTGTACAAAAAGCAAGAAATGGAGCAAGCTGGTTAAATGTACCTATGCCACATCTTCCCTGGGTCCCTACACTGACATCCTGATGACTTCTCATACACTGACAGAACTGGGGGATCTGGTCTTCCTTAACTGCGAGAAGAGCTGGAAATGGAGGTTACTTAATGGTGTACCTTCCCAATAGGAACAGAAAATTTGGGTTCTTTTGTAAGGAGAAGGGATGATTTTGGTAAATAGCAGGACATGCCACACTAGACCTAAAAGCAAATCTCAACAAATACCTAAGACGCAATAACATAAAGACCATATGCTCTGTTGAAAATGCAATTGTATTAAAAAGCAACAACAGAAAGACAACTAAAACACCCATACACATGGAGCAACTTTCCAGAATGATAGACATTTTGTATCATGAATAGGGCGTTAGTTACATATAAGTATACATCAGTCAAATTCACCCAAATGTATATGTAAAGTCTATAAATTGCAATATAGTTAATTATTTCTCTATAAAAATATAGCTATGTATTGTTATTTAAAATCTAATTTCAAATAATTCATGCATCAAAGAATTAGTGATGAGGGAAATTAAGACAATATTTAGAATTAAGCCAAAATGAAAATATTAAATATCCAAACATGTCATGAAGTCAAACAATTATAAAAAATGACAAGAGCCCCAAATAATTATATAAACTAGAAGTTAATTAACAAAAGACTTATTATATGGATGAGACACTGATAAAGGCAAGCCATCATTCTGAACATTTTCTCTCCTGGCATGAATCCTTTTATGCACGGTGAGTGAAGAACTGTGCCTGAAGGCTTTCTCACACTGATTACATTCATATGGTTTCCCTGCACTGTGGGTTCTCACATGTACAATAAGGTGTGAGGACTGACCAAAGGCTCGTCCACATTCCTGACAGGCATAGGGCTTCTTGCCTGTGTGAGTTCTTGCATGTTTCCTAAGTGATGAGGGCTCACTAAAGGCTCGTCCACATTCCTGACATGGGTAGGGCTTCTCTCCAGTGTGAGTACGCATGTGACTCTTGAGGGTTGACAGACGGCTCAAAACCTGACCACAAGTCACACACTCATAAAGCTTCTCACCGGTATGAACCCTCTTGTGTACGTTCAGATGTGTGCTTGTGCGGAAGGGCTTCCCACAATGACTGCATTCATAAGGTTTCTCTCTAGTGTGAGTTCGCATATGTGTTTTTAGCGATGAGTGTTCTCTGAAGGCTTTCCCACAAAGACTGCAACCAAAGGGCTTCTCTCCAGTGTGAGTTCTCACATGGCTCCTCAGAGAAGATGGCTGATTAAATGCTTTCCCACAGTCCTTACATTCATAGGGCTTCTCTCCTGTGTGGTTTCTCTGGTGCAAAATAAGATTAAAGTTCCTCGTGAAAGTTTTCCCACACTGACTACATTCAAAAGGTTTCTCTCCAGTGTGTGTTTTCATGTGCCGCCGCAAGTTCGAGGAATACTTGAAAGCTTGCCTACATTCTTGACATTCAAAGCATTTCTCTGCAGTATGGGTTTTTTCATGCCTGATGAGGTCAGAGTTGTATCTGAAAGACTTTTCACATTTGTTACATGCATAAGTTTTGTTTCTGCTACAAATTTTCTCAGGTATGATTAAGTGAGTGGATTGAAAGAAGGACTTTCTACTCTTTTGGCATTCATAGGAGTCCCCTCCAGTGTGAACTCTCTGATACTGAAAAAGTGGTTTGATACTATTAAAATGTTTCCCATCTTCATTGTATTTATAGGGTTTTTCTCCAGTCTGAGGTTGTTCCTGTCAATTGGGGGGAGGGGGGGAAGATCAAAGATTTTATTTACATTCATAGATATTCTTCCCCGAGTGAATTATGTATCAGAGAAAGACATTTCTATATCTAAAGCTTTTACCATTTTAGTGCATCTGCAATATTTCTACCCTGAGTTCTCACAAGTGGATGCTCTACCATGAAGAGTACCTTATTATTATCTTCACGAGGCCAATTAAATGCAAATATTTTCTGAATTGCTTAGTGCTAAATTAAGTTTTAAATGCTCTCTACCTATGTCACATTTATGAAAATAGTTATTTGTGGGAATTCTGTGAATACAAGTCTGACCTATGTTTAGAGCTGCTCCCAATTAATGAAATTCATGGACTCTCTCCCAAAAAACTGCTTTCTCTTGAGTCTCTCTAAGCTCTTGTGCTAGTTTTCTAACCAATAACAACCCCAGACTTCTCCTCTATAAACAGGAAAAGTCCCTTGTGAATCTTACCCTTTTCATGTCAATGGATGGAAGCTCCACAAAAATATCTTGGTGAGAAAATGATTCTTGGGGTTGTAGTTGAGGTTCTGAAATGAATTGGGAGTAGGGATTAAGTGAGCAGGAAGAGAAAACTGTGGAATAGAGGTAACCCAAAAAGTAAGCAGGGTATGTGTAGAATTTTTTAATACTAATTCTAAAATATAGGAAGGAATTTTGAAGAGAAGGAATGTATCAAAGAGTAGAGGAAAATTTTAAGGCATCTGGCTATGTAAGGAGGTTTATAATTACAGGAACAAGGGATAGGAATGATAGATGACTTACTAAGAAAATTCTATGAGGTACTGGGACTGTTATCAAAAGAAATTATGAGCAAGAACCTGATGGGGAGGAACTAGATTAAATATACATGTGGAAATACTAAATGTGAAGAGGAAGTAAAACATCTTTCTAGGAAATCAGAATAAAGTATTAGAGATAAAAAGGTAAAGGAAAAAGAAAAGAAGGACACTCAACCAGTCTTCTATTCAAACATATTTAAAAGGTTTCCTTTGTTGAAAATTGTCAAATCTAACACACACCTTACCTGGTGCTCACCTGACCTGTCTGATGCTCACCTAGCCAGGTTTCTGGGAAGATTCCTCTTTTAGTGCTACATAGCTCTTCTCTTTCATCCAAATGGGAAAGCATACTGGGTTTGCATAGTTGATTTCCTGCTTGTGGGAAAAGATGCATGGTATGGGCAGACTGCACCTGCCATAAACCCAGGGATGGTTTTCTGAAGTCTTTGTGGTTGCTGGAGATGGGAGTAGCAAAATGAGCATATTTGAACTAAGATGAGCACAGTAAAGCTCTTTTACTAAGGAAGCAAAGTACAAGCTCCTGCACTGGTCAATAGATAGAGGACAGTAAACTCTCTGGTGCCAAAACCTTAATATGTCAGTGACATATTAAGAAACCCAGAAGCTATGAACTATGGAGAAACAAAGGGCAGCAGAAGGGGTCTCCATTTTCATGGGAAATTCGCTAAACTGTGAGCACATGAGAGTAGCACTTGTCTGTCTTTTCTGCTCTCAAATTCCCAAACCAAAACAGTCTGGGAACCCATAGTGTGTGGATGAAGCAACAAGGCCAGCTTACCCACAAAGGCCAGGTTCCTATAGTTCTCCAGCATCACATCTCTGTACAGGATTCTCTGGGTAGAGTCTAGAAACATCCATTCTTCCGGGGTGAACAACACAGCCACATCCGCAAAAGTGATAGCTTCCTAAAATGCACACCTATACCAGATCAACCAGGGGCCACCCCACCAAAATTTGAGAGGGTGGCAGAGGACTAGCAAGGCCGGTGAAGGGAGATCCCATGCAAATGGTTTTTGGATGAGGTTCTGAGGTCTCTCGGGCCATGAAATTAGAACTCCTCTCTGCCCAGTATTCCCTCCCTGAGTTACAGCACCCAGAGTTATAGCATCAAAAGACCTTGACTTCATGGTGGAACTTAGCTACTGATAAGCAGTCAGAAAGCTCAGGCAGTTTTATTTCCCTCTAGCTCCAGCTGAACATGTCATAGGCAAGAGAGAAATATTTGGTAAATAACAACTGTTTGCTCCAGAAGACCTCGAAGACTGTGGGATAAAGACAGATCACATCCTTACTCTGTTTTCCCTTCTGAAGTCCAGCAGAAGTCAGCACTGGCTAACCCAGGGAAGGTCTGAATGAGGGAGAGAATCACTGCCTTCCCACTTTTAGGCCCAGTGCCTGGAGACCAGCCTCATGGATTGGAGAAGCTCCAGGACATGGGAATTGGGCAAAACAAGAAAGAGCAAGACAGACTTCTTACCTGTGGAAAGGTGGTCAGCACCCCAGGAGCCACAGTTGCTTCCTCTGTGCTCTCCTGCTGGAGCCAGGCAGGGTCCTGAGCAGGCAGAGCTGGAGGAAAGGGAAGTCAAGAGACCCAGTGAGCACAAAGGGCCAAGGCAACCCACCTTGATTGTGAGGAACTGTAAGTACACACACGTACACACCCATGGGACACACATGTACACAGATACGTACATACACTTAGGTGCATAGGCACACTTACATACAGGTATACATGTGTACAAACTCACAAACATGCCTACAGACACACAAAACACATGCTCGTACACATACACAGAGATAAGAGAGCACACACATTCACACACATATGCATGTTTGCCATTTCAAACCTTTTGAACCAGTATCAGTCCACCCGGAGACTAGTTTCTGCAGCACATGCACAGACACACACATAGTTGATTGAATAGTGGGTCAGCTTTTCCTCCTTGCTGAGCCCTGTCCTCTGCTCTAGTCTACAGAGCAGTATCCCCTAGGTCTTACCACATAGAGGAAAAGGAAACCACTACCACCCTATGAGCTTGCCTGTGAGGGAAGTGTCCTGCCCTTCCTGCTTTCAAATCAGTAACACCTCCCCATCACACCAAGTATCCTCAGTCTGGTTCATTACAGATGAGGCAATGACACCCCAACCAGCCCTCCTCTCTCCACACTCCTACCTCTCTTTCCATGGGGACCATATCCTCAGGGATGTCATATCCCTGACCCCACATATTGGATTCCTGCAACTGTGAGAAATGTAGCACAAACTGAGTGGCTATGCTGACCATGCCCCAGTGGGCAGAATACTTCCTTACCTCTTTCTCGCTTCTGGTGGTGGCCACTGTAAAAATTATGCACAGAAACCTTAGAGGTCAGAGGAGAGAAGAGTTCCCACAAATGTGCAATCAGTAAACTACAGCATCCAGGATGCCTTGCCTCTCACAGGAAGTGAGGCTGCTTCCCCATCCCAGTGGAAGGATAAAGGAGATTCCACTTTGCTCAGCAGCAGTCCTTCCAAAAGCTATATAAGGGGATGCTAGTTTTGGGTTGCAGCGAAGTGCATACTTCACCATGAGTACACAATTTCCAAACTGCCTTTTTGTTGTTTCCATTTTGTGGTAAAATAACTGGTTGTTCTTCATTTGAGGTCAACATGGTAGACCCTTGGTGTTCCTTGGCTTGTAGCTGCATCCCTCCAATCACTGCCCCCACTGTCACATGACCATCTTCTCCCCTGCACACCCATGTCTTCACCTGGCCTTTTCCTCTTTTTCTCCCAAAGAAGTAATAGATCCCAAGAAAGTTCAAAACCCAGAGAAAGTTTAAGGCCTAAGAATAATCCTCTGTGACTCAAGGCTCTGTCTTGCTTACTGAGATTGTCCTGCCCTCTAGCTAATTTTGGATACGTTTCATTCATATTCCCCAGATAACTGAAAAAATATTGGAGATAATGGTTGGATATATGGGTCTGGAGCTCAGATGTGACAGCCATCCTGGAGACCTGGGCCTTGTCAGGTTAAGTTGGGAATTGACACCCAGAAACAACTAGGTTGCCCATTAAAGCACAGCATACTGAGAAATATGAGAAGAAATGTCCATGCATTGGGCACAGCAGAGGCGAGATGGAAGGGGACCCTATACAAGAGACCAAGAAGGAACCCAGGGTATGGTCAGCAAGCCCAGTAGGGTGAGTTTCAGGATGGAGTGACTGAATAAATGAACAATGGATTCCCACCAAAGATGGAGGTCACTGGCATCCACAGTACTGGTCCTCAGATGATGGTGATGGGATGTAAGCAGGAGGTGGTGAATGGAATAAAGAGTGATTACCAGGAGGTAGAGAACATAGGAGGTAGAGAACGGTGGTGTGTCACGGCTTGAATTGTATCCCCCAAAAAAGATGTGTTGAAGTCTTAACCCCCCACTACCTCAGAATGGGACCTTATTTGGAATAGCATTCTGCAGATATAGCTAATTAAGATGAAGGTATAGTACAGTGAGCTCTGAATGCAACAGGAGGATGTCCTTCTAAGAAGAAAACACACACGAAAGGGGAGAAGGCCACAGACAAAGCCAAAACTGGAGTAGTATGTCTGCAAGTCAGGAAACACCAAGGATTGAGAGCAACAACCAGAAGCTGAAGGAGGCAAGGAAGGATCCTGTGCCACAGGTTTCACTGCAAGTGTGACCTTGCTGATGCCTTGAATTTGGAATTCTGACCTCCCGAATTATGATATATAAATTTCTGTTCTATCATGCCTATCTTCTCAACACCTGTTCTCGAGTCCCTGATCTTAGGAAGTGACATCCCTGCCTCAGATAAGAAATCTCAACCCTCTCTGACACCAACAATTTATTTTTTTAAATAGTGATGGCACCTCTATATAGAGTTCCCACCTTCCCCTGCTTGTGCCAGTCCACTCTCTTCCTCCTACCCCATCCCCACTACATGACACCTTTCCTTTCTGGACCTACTTAAATGTCAGGTCCCCAGAGTGCCCCTTCCTGAGGTCACCTCCCCAATATCCTCCCTTTTTCTAATAAGACCCTCCCGCCTTCTTCACAGCCTTTACATATTCATTACCAGATATTTGCTTCCTTAGATGTTTCTTTTCTGTCATCTTCCCTGGGTAGAAGCTTCTAAAGAACAAACCTGGTTTCCTTTCTTTTCACAACCCTGTCTCCACCACCACACTGGGCACATAAATGATCTGAATCATCAGGTAAATGACGCATACGTGACTCACAAAATTACCTCAACTCGACCTCCAACATAAGTCTTACATTGTTCCACGCTTCATGCTATACAGACAGGAGCTCATACAGCATACCTGACTGTTCTCCTAAGCAAGGCTGCTGGCAAAACTGGCCCTTGTCTAGCATCTGGGAGACCTGGATTTCAGAAGGGCTCCCACCACTCCATTTAAACTGTACAACATGGTTTATACTGAGCCATTTTCCTTCCAGAAGGCTAGACACAGTTAATTTATCTCAATGAAAAACCAAGGCACTGAGTCTTTAATGAACCCCTGACAGACAACACTTCACACATGATGTCCAGGGAATTAAGTATATCTTGTGTGACTCCCCTGGGAGAGATCTCCAGAATGCTTTGAATCTCTTTATTAAAGGATAATAATCTTTGTACTGTAAACTCTAACTGGCACTTGCATTGCAAGCCTAAGCTTTGAGACTGGATATCCAAGTCAAAGAAGGCTAGCTTGAACAAATACACAGCCCGTCACACCACTGGATAGAGCCAGCAGCCTCCTTTGTTTAATAGGTCCTAGGTGATTTAGGTAACTGGTCCATTGAGACTGGCTTCTCTTTTTCCTTCTGTCTCTCTTCCCACACTTTAAATCCATGCTTTTGTTTCAAATTCACCAATAAATAATAAGCCAGGGAAACCCTGGACCAATCCCCCCAAAATACTCCACCCCAATAAAAGTAAGATCCTGGGCCTATATAGTCACACTCCCTAATCTCAGCACTGTTGCATAGGATGATCGAGAGGTGTCCTGAGGACGGCAAGGGAAAGGGCTGACCGAAAACACTGAGAAAACTTGCGTGTGCCAGGGCGGAAAACCGCATGGGAGGAACGCCTGAACTTGCTTCATCCTTGGAAGTCTCCTTGGTCGTAACTTAACAACAGAGGCTCACAAGGACAGGCATGTCCAATAAGCCTAATGGCTCACATACATGGTGTATATGAGCTCACGTACATGGCATGAGAGGCAAGGTTGTTTTGGCTTTCTCTGACTTATGATAAAACGCGGATGTCCTTGTTCACAATTCCCACATAACCATGCTGTGAAAAATAGAGAATCACTGCTTGTACCTGACAGCAGTCCCCCGTCTGGTGGGTCCTTTGCAATCAGCGTCCCAGGTCTCAGAATCCACTAACGGCTCACAAGCACCACCTCAGAGTGGCTCAAGTGTGCTATGTAATTTTCAATTTTTTATGTAATAAACCTATACTTTTTCAAAGTTTCCAGATGCATCTTGCAATCATTAATAAAACCCCAAGGGCTGGACTAGTTACAATATGGGCATTAAAGTAGAAATGCCTGGGCCTCCCTGGTGGCGCAGCGGTTGAGCGCTGGGTTGCGAGGCTGCCCGCTGCCTCTGCGGCGCCGGTTCGATTCCCGGCTGCTCCCCGGCCACCGGAGGAGGGTCCCACATGGCGTGCAGACCTCTCCTGCCGCCCGCTGCTCCCCTCAGCAGTGTACTTCGGTCCTTCTGCCTGCTCTGCTCCCCGCTCTGGCTCTGGTGAATTCTCTCACCCTCCCGCGCTTCTGACTGTACCCAGTGCATGTACAAACAAAACAAACGAACAAACAAATAAATAAATAAATAAAACATGCCTCTATAAAAGAAAAAAAATTAAAAAAAAAAATAAAAATAAAAATAAAAAATAAATAAAAAAATAAAGTAGAAATGCCTGTTGGAAACTAACTGGAGCCCAGGAGTATCCCCACGTACTTCCAGCCAGTAGCACTGTATCAATAGCCCGAGACCTACAATGAAATCAGCTGTACGTCCCATGAGGCCTCCTATCGAGTCACCAAACCTAGCAGTAGTCCTAGGGGCCCCCTAGGACTCCATATCACCCCAAGTCTAAGCTACCACCACCTATTACTAACTGTTCTATTCACCACTCATGTCCTCCCTGAGGCCCATCCTCTGCCCAAGTGCCGGAGGCTTCTGTTAAAACCACAGGTGTGGCCAGCACCTGCCTAAGTGCAGCACTGGCTTCCACCAGTCTAGGCTGCAGATGGGGCTTTTTATAAGCACCAGTGATCCGGACCCACGCTCTCTCTGGTCAGCTAACACTCTCCACTTCCCAGTGCTCCTGTACCAGAGCCTTCTGGGCCCCCTGGACACAAATGCTCTCTGCCCACTTCCACCCCCAGGGATTCTACAGATGTCAGTCCCAGGCCTGAAATCCTCTCCCCAAACCTTCTCCAAACAGCCCAACATCTGGCTAAGCTAAAAAATACAGTGATTATTATGGTCTAAACCAGCACTTGGTCCCCAGGGGATGTGTAGCAATTCCTGCTATCATGGTAGGTTTGGGCTGTGACAACAAAATACCAGAGGCTGGGCAGCTTGAACAAAAAAAAATTTATTTTCTCATTGTTCTGGAGGCTGGAAGTGCCAGCATGGTTGGCTCCTGGTGAAGTCTCTTTTTTCTGGCCTGTAAACAGCCACCTTCTTACTGTGTCTTCACATGGCAAAGAGAAAGAAAGTTCCAGTATGACTTCTTACAAGGACAATTTGATGGGATCAGGGCTCTATGCTTATGACTTCACTTAATCTGAATTACCTCCTTAAAGGCCAAGTCTTCAGTACCGTGATGAAGAAGATTAGAGCTTCAACATAAGAACTTCAGATAGACATGACCTAGTCCTAGTAACTAGTGACATTTCCGATAGTCATGACTTGCAGTGGAGGTGTTATGGGCCAAATTATGTCCTTACAAAATTTTGTAAGTTAAAGGCTTAACCCCCAGCATCTTGAATATAACTGTATTTGGACATGAGCTCTTTAAAGTAGTCATTAAATTAAAATGAAGTCAGTAAGGTGGACCCTAAATCCAATGTAACTGGTGTCCCTAGAATAAAAGGAAATTTGGATAGATACATACAGAGAGAGAACAATGTGAAGACACAGATAAAACATAGCCCTTACAAGCTACAGAAAAGAGGCCTATCATAGCCCTCAGAAAAAGCCAACTCAGCTAACACCCTGATTTTAGACTTCTGGCCTCCAAAACTGTGAGGAAAACAACTTTTGCTGTTCAAGCTGCCCAGTCTGTGGTACTGTGTTACTGAACCCCTTGCAAACTGATACAGGGACTAAGGGATGGGATGCTCCTGGAATCTAGTAGGTAGAGGCCAGGGAGGTTCTTAACAACCTGTAACACACAGGGTGGTCCCCCACAGAGAATGATCTGGCCCCAGTGCTAGCAATGCTGTGAACAAAAACCCTCAATCTAAGCTTAAAGTTCCCAGAGTTCCTCTCTACCCTCCAAGATAAAATCCTCATGTTATATGCTTCTATTACATTCTGCTCTCCATTTAAAATCTGACTGCCCAAACTGTGAGCTCCACAAGGGAGTGAGTCAGAGTTTTGTTTGTGATTGTTTCCCAGTGCCCACTGCAGCACAAGATGACAGCCTAGTACATAGAGTATTCCCATGCTTCAAAAGCATTTTAAAAGCAAGAGTACTTCAAGAACAGAGTATTCCAGTACTTTAAGAACCAAGTACTTGAATACTTCAAGAGTACTTCAAGAGCACAGAGCATTCACATATTACAAGAGCACTTCAAGATAGAGCCTGGCCCAGAAGGCTTACCAAAAATATACAGAAGAGCAACATATAAGCCACAGTTAAGAATTCCTTCCTGCCAATGATATAATACAGATTCCAAACACAAGACCGGATGATGCTGTTAAGAATAAAGAGTCAGGGCCTCCCTTGGTGGCACAGCGGTTGAGCACAGGGCTGCAAAGCTGCCCGCAGCCTCTGCAGCGCCAGTTCAATCCCCGGCCACCAGTGAGGGTCCCACATGGCATGACAGACCTCTCCTGCTGCGCCCGCTGCTCCCCTCAGCAGTGTATTTCGTCACTCTGCCTGCTCTGCTCCCCGCTCTGGCTCTGGTGAATTCTCTCACCCTCCCGCACTTCTGACTATACCCAGTGCTTGTATAAATAAATAAACAAATCTTAAAAAAAAAAAAAAAAAGAATAAAGAGTCAGTCAAATCCAAACTAATAACAGGCCCTAGAAATCTAGCTGTAGAATTAAGGTTACTGGGGGTGGGGTGGTGGTGGTTAAAGGGACTATAGTGGAGAAATATGGGTGCCCAGGTGTGGTGACATATGTCTGAAGAGATGTGACCCTAGACTCTGAATCACATATAGTATTTTAAACCAACGTTACTTCAATAAAATTTAAACACACACACACACACACACACACCCCATTTAGAGTAAATTCAATTACAATCTTCAATATCAACATAATTGTGCAGTGACGAACATAACCTTGCATAAATAGAGGTCTAGCCTTTGCCACAGATGGATGGGGCCTGCTTTTTCTAAACAGAAAGATTTAAGACCAAAATAATAATCCCAGCCCACAATCCTCATGAAGTGTCTTTTCCTTTGACTCTGTGAAGAATGAGAGGTGACTTTTTCTATTCTCTTCTACAGTACAGGGCACTACCTGAAGTGAAAGGACAGGAAGGTAGAGAAGCAAGTCCCCAGAGACAAGACAAGACACTGGGGCCCCTGGCTGCCGAGTCCATCCAGCACTCACTCACCGGAGCCCCCGGTCATCCATGGGGCGAGGAGGCCCAGGGCAGGCTGCAGCATGGCTACCCTCTGAATCTGCATAGCCACCTTCAGGCCCTGGACAGAGTAACAGGGACAGGTAGAGCCATATAGTCCAGGAATGCCTATTCACCCTTACTAAATTTTGCATGACTAGCCCTGTTTGGGGGAACTTACTGATAAAAAGAGGGACACACCCTGTTGACCTGGTGGAGAGGGGGTCCAGGTGGGGTAGGTGTACCACCTTCAGCAGTGGAGGAAATTTTGAGCCAACAGGGACAGTCAATGGTGGACAAGTTAAGGGGGGAAAGAGGATATAGAGGCAGATACACACCTTATTCCTGGAAAGTATCTGAACCTTTTCTCAGCAGAAAGGGTATCTAATCTGACTTGCATTTCTCAGATATGCTTCTGGTCTGTCCAGGGTGGGGCAAAAACCTATCAGGAGCAGTTCCAGGTCCAGAACTATCAGAGGCTCTGGCAGGGTGGTGGCAGCAAGGACAGGAGAGCAGTCAGAGGTAGGTTTGTGAAGTTGGTGGTAGGTGGGAAGTAAATATGCTAAGTGCTATGGCTCAGGTGATGGTGACTGGCAGGGCAGGGCTCAGAGCTTGACTTAGAGTGTTCCTCTCTGACAATATCTCCACATCAGTATGAAAAAGGAAGGCCCTTAGTCAAGAGCTCAGCCACCAACCCAACACCCAGTCCTTAGGTCACAGGACCCACTCATTCCTTTTAGGATTCCTGGCCATGGCCAGGATAGGTGTGAGAGTGGAAAGATTAGAGGAAGAAAGGCAAGACCTAGACAGGCAGGGCTAAGGCCCTAGGTGCCAACGCTCCCCCAGAACTTCTCTGGATCTGAAACCATCCTGAGAATATTCATCTTCAAAGAAGAAATGGTAGGGCCAATTCAATAGCACTTACTGAGAGCTAAGCCTGGGCCTCTATCATGTTTCCAGTTCCTCATAGTTGGCCCTAAATATCGCCCCACCCCCACCCCTGCTCCTGTTTACAGAAATCCCAAACCCCAGGCGTTCCTGAATATGACTGGGGCCGTCACAGCAAAGCACCTCCCAGGCTTACTGCGTATCTGGAAGACCAAGGTGCCTCCCGCAGAGATGACTGGTCCTCTGGAGCCGGCAATGTCCTACTCTCTCCTGTCAAGGTCCTGATCTGCCTCATCAGGTCCAGCCCTGACCCCTAGGGAAAGGCATGGAGGGTGTTGAGCAGGACAGAAGCAGCAGTGAGGCTGCTTTCAGCCTGAAAGACCCTCAGTTTGGGGTAGGGTTGCCAGAAGTCAGGGCATGTGGGTGATACCGCCAACCTGCAGTGAGCACCAGTGACCAATGGTCTTCAAGGACTGATCACACCCAAAATGTAGAGACACAACTGATCCCTTTATGCGGCCAGAAGATGTCTGACTACAGAAAGGCTGAAAGTCCTTGCTTCTGAATATGAACATTGCCCTATTTTCTTGGGTTCTGTATTCATCTGTGTGGCATCATCAATCACAACTGTTTACCTAACCTCAAGATCCAGAGGTGTTCACTATTCCAACTCACACACTAAGCCAATCACCCAGGCCAGATGATAACTAGGGACAGCCTTAATTAGACCCCAAAGGTCCCCCAGAATTACTCAAACTCACCAATCCCAACCTTTTTACCTTGTAAAAATCCCAATGAAGTCTCCAGCCTAGACACTCTGACCCTGGTGTTTCCCCATGTGGTCCTGTGTGCATAGGGAGCCCTTTCTCCTTAAGAAATATACAGTCCTGCAATGCTTAATGATAGGAAAATGTTCTGAAAAATGCCTTTTTAGGCAATTTCATCATTGTGCAAACATCTTGAGTGTAATTACACACACCTCGGTGGTATAGGCTACTTCACACCTAGGCTAAGATATAGCCTGTAGGCTCCGCAATTGTATGTGTGGGTCATTGTTTCCTGAAACATCATTGTACAAAACATGACTAAAAATCATAAAAGTCTTGGTTGGTATTGGTGGCTCCATGTCATAGCTCAGTCACCTCCACAAATGAAAATGCCATAGGTACCACGTTGAAACAAACATTTTCATCAGAATAATTTTGATATGAATCACTCTTTTTGAAGAAAAGGGTTTTTAGGAGTTTAACCTATTCTTTCAACACAGGTTACTGAGCACTGCTAGTGAAGATGCTGTGGATCCAGCAGAGAACAAAAAGGCAAAACCGCAGCCCCCAGATGCTAAAGTGTTGTGGGGGGAGGGTAATGTAAGGGGCTCTGAGGTAGCAGTGAGGCTGAGCCTGGAGGCACCCCTTCCCTGGCCTCCTTTAGTGCTCTTCTAGGAGCAGTTCCCAGATCTCTGTATCCCTGCATCTACATGTCTAGCTGACTAAGAGGGAAAGTCATAGGGTCTCTGTCTGTCCCTGGCCCGCAGCACTTATTCCCACATGAGAGGGGGGTTTCAGAGTTGCCACCCATTGGGGGCATCGGTGATTGGAACAAGACTCAGCAATGCCCAGAAGGGCCCAGAAGGTCTAGCTGAAGAGTTAGCACCACCAACAGAGAGGCAGTGTATGTGATCCTTGGCGAGTAGAACCTGGGAATTAAGTGGGGGTTTCCCAGAGTTAGGCCTGGATTCGCCTTCAGCTCCAAATCCATCTTTCAGAAGAAAGTCTTGAGTAACAGGAAGGGTTTGCTCAAATTCACAAGTTAAGGATGGTGCCCTCAGATACTGGGAATTCCCTTAAGGAAATGCCCACATGTCTCCCTGGCCCTGTTCCTCTACTTCTCCTGAGAATGAACAAAGGATAATCTCCTGTGAATCTTACCATTTGCATATCATGGGATGAATTTTCCTCCAAAATATCCTGCACAGGAGTAGACTCTTTGGATTTAAGTTGAGATTCCCACTCTAAAATGAATCAGAAAAAAATTAACTTCATTCAGAAAGAGTGATATGAAATTGACAAAAGTATATACAGACATTTTTTTAAAAATATATTGAACCCTAAACTGGTCAATACTGAAAGGGAAGAAGGTATTTTTGAGCAAAGGGAGATTAAAGAGTAGGGCTATGTGTGGAATTTTGCAGCAACAGGAACGAGGGGGATATTGAGGCTATTTCCTTGCAAAAGATTCCGACAACTGAGGCAGATATTACTAGAAAGGGAGCATTATCAGAGAAACATGTAAGAAGCAATTAGACAAAGAGCACTCTTAGAAATGTTCAATTTAAAGAGGAATTGGATAAATATGGCTATGATGTAGAAAAATCAGAACTCTTACCCACCACTGGTAGAAATACAAAACGGTGGCCCTGTTTTAACAATATTTTTTTTAAAGATTTATTTATTTATTTATGCAAGCACCAGGTACAGTCAGAAGCACGGGAGGGTGAGAGAATTCACCAGAGCCAGAGCGGGGAGCAGAACAGGAAGACTGACAAAGCACACTGCTGAGGGGAACAGAGGGCACGGCAGGAGAGGTCTGCCATGCCATGTGGGACCCTCGCCGGCGGCTGGAGATCCAACCGGCACTGCAGAGGCTGCGGGCAGCTTTGCAGCCCAGCGCTCAACCACTGCACCACCAGGGGAGGCCCTGGTGGCCCTGTTTTAGAAAGCAACTGAGCAGTTCTTCAAAGAGTTAAACATAGAGTTACCATCTATGGCATCAACTCTCCTAAATATCTACCCAAAAGAACCAAAAACACGCCCACATAAAATCTTTCACATACATGTTCATAGCCATACTGTACACAATAGCCAGAGAGTGTGGAAACAACCCAAATGTTCATCAACTGATGAGTGCACAAAGTTTGGCATAGCCATACACAGGAATATTCAGTCATAAAAAAAGAAATGAAGCACCAATTTGACTCATGCTACAACATGGATGTACCTCAAAAACATTAAGCTTAGTAACAGAAACAGATCCCAAAGGTCATGTATTTTATCCTTCCCTTTATATGAAATGTTCAGAAAAGACAAATCCATAGAGACAGAAAGCAGATTACGGTCACATGCTGCATAGTGACATTTCAGTCAACAGCAGACAGCACTTTCAACAGCAGTCCACACACACTGTCTAGATGTGCAGCAGGCTGTACCATGTAGGTTTGCATGATTACTCTATGAGGTTCATACAATGACAAAATTGCCTAACCACAAATTCCTCAGAAAATATCCCCTTTGGTAGCTTTTATCCCAAGACCAAGACCACCTGCCTGTGACTTGCAAGGGCCTCTCTTTTTTCTTTCTCCTTTCGTAATAAACCTATTCTTTTAAAATATGAAAAAAAAAAAAAAAAGAATATCCCTTTTGTTAAGCAACATGGGACTATATTGGTGCCAGGGACAAGAAGTGAGGAAATGGGGAATAACTACTAAAAGAAATGAGGTTTCTTTTTGATGAAAATGTTCTGGAATTAGATAGCAATATTGGCTGTACAACTTTGTGAATATACTAAAAATCAACGAATTGTATACCTTAAAACGGTCAATCTTGTGGTGAGTGATTTGAATTTTGTTTGTAAAAACAAACAGGAACACATTTTTTCTGAAACCCAACAAATGTGGGCTAGAAAATGAAAACAGAATCAAAGCTAAAGGAACTCACTGGAGAAACCTCGCTCCTATTATATTTCTCCCCAAAAAAACAGCCTTTAAAATGACAACTTCCCAGGGCCTCCCCTGGTGGCCCAGCAGTTGAGTGCTGGGCTGCGAGGCTGCCCGTGGCCTCTGCAGTGCCGGTTTGATCCCTGGCCACCGGCAAGAGTGCAACATGGCACAACAGACCTCTCCTGCCACACCCACTGCTCCCCTCAGCAGTGTATTTCGTCAGTTTGCCTGTTCTGTTCCCCGCTCTGGCTCTGGTGAATTCTCTCACCCTCCCACACTTCTGACTGTACCCAGCGCTTGTATAAATAAATAAATAAATAAATCCTTTCTTTTTTAAATAAATAAAACGAGAACTTCCCAAACATGAAGAAGGAGCTGAAAATAGACATACAAGAAGCAAGAAGAACACCAAACTTCCATGATGAAAGGAAAAATACAGCAAGACACATAATAGTAAAGCTCCCAAGAATCCAAGACAAGGAAAAAATAATGAAGCTGACAAGAGGGAAGAAACAGATAACATTCAAAGGAAAACCAATCAGGCTGACATTAGACTTCTCCGAAGAAACACTACAGGCAAGGAGAGAGTGGAGAGACATAGTCAACAGACTCCAAGAAAACAAATGGTAACCAAGAATACTCTATCCTGAAAAATTTTCCTTCCTCTATGAAGAAAGAATAAGGACCATCCCAGACAAACAGAAACTCTGGAATTTCATGATGATAAAAGCCCCACTCCAAAAAATACTACAAAGAATCCTAAAGCCAGAACCAACAGAGGGATGAATAACAACGAAACAAGGCCAAAAAAAAAGAAAGGAAAGGAAAAAAAGTTATTTAAAGAATAAATAAATAAAATCAGAGGAAAGACAAACAAAATGGCAAATACAGATGCTAACATATCAATATTAGCTCTAAATGTAAATGGACTAAACTCTTCAGTGAAAAACACACAGAGTCTCAGGTTAGATTAAGAAACAAAATCCAACCTTTTGCTGTCTCCAGGAAACACATTTAACTACAAAAGATAAAAATAGACTCAAAGTAAAAGGATGGAAAACATGCCTACAAGCAAATGGACCAAAAAAGAAGGCAGAAACAGCTATACTTACATCAGATAAAACAGATATCAAACTCAAAAAGGTAAAAAGAGACCCCAATGGTCACTACATTATGATCAAGGGGACAATACTTCAAGAAGAAATAACACTCATTAATATACTAACCAAATGAAGGAGCACCAAAATATATCAGACAACTATTATCATCTCTGAAACAGACATCAGAGAAAACACATATGTAGTAGGTGACTTCAACACACCATTATCAACAATGGATAGATTAACGAGACAAAAAATTAGTAACAACACTAAAGCCCTACATAAGGATCAGGAGCTCATGGGCTTAACAGACATCTATAGAACACTAAACCCCGAAAAATCTGAGTACACATTTTGCTCAAGCACACAAGGATCATTCTCCAAGATCGATCACATACTGGGACACAAGACAAATATCAACAGATACAGCAAGATTGAAATCATACCAACCATCTTCTCTGACCATGAAGGCATCAAACCAGAAATAAACCATAAAAAGAAGGCAAGGAACCCTTCTACCTCATGGAGATTGAAACCCACACTACTGGAAGACCACTGGACTAATGAGGAGATCAAAGAAGAAATTAAAAAATACTTTGAGTTGAATGACAAGAAGGACACCACTTTCCTAAATGTATGAGACACAGCAAAAGCAGTAATAAGAGGAAAATATATAGCCATAGAGGCTCACATCAAGAAACAAGAAATAACTCAAAGAAACAACCTAATCTCAAAGCTCAAAGAACTAGAAAAAGAACAACCAAAAAAACCCAAAATCAGCAGAAGAAATAATAAAAATCAAAGCAGAAATAAATGAAATTGAAACTAAAAAACAATCGAGAAGATCAATGAAACCAAAAGCTGGTTCTTCAAAAAAATAAATAAAATAGACAAACCCCTTGCCAGGCTCACAAAGGAAAAATGGGAGAAAGCACAAATAAATAGGATCTCAAATGAAAGAGGAGAAATCACAACAGACACAGCAGGTCTCAAAAGAATAATCAGAAATTACTATGAACGGTTATATGGAAAAAAGTTCAACAATCTAGAAGAGATGGACAAATTCCTACAACTCTACAATCACCCAAAGCTAGATAAAGAAGAAATAGAACACCTAAACAGACCAATTATAAGCAGCAAAATAGAAATGGTAATCAAAAACCTCCCCAAAAACAAAAGCCCAGGACCAAATAGATTTACAAATGAATTCTACCAAACAATCAGAAACGGATTAGTGCCTATGCTTCACAAACTCTTTCAAAAAATTGAGAAGGAAGGAATAATACCAAACACGTTCTATGAAGCCAACATTACACCAATACCAAAACCAAACAAGGACAACACAAAAAAAGAAAACTACAGACCAATCTCTCTAACGAAGACGGATGCAAAAATCCTCAATAAAATTTTAGATATCAGAATCCAACAATGTATCCATCCATAAGATAATTCACCACGACCAAGCAGGATTTATTCCAGGGACACAAGGATGGTTCAACATCCGAAAATCAATCCATGTTATCCAACATATTAACAAAAAGAAACATAAAAACCGTATGATAATGTCAATAGATGCTGAGAAAGCTTTCGACAAAGTACAACACCCATTCATGATAAAGGCCCTTGAAATTCTTGGGATACAAGGAACATACCTCAACATCATAAAGGCCATATATGACAAGCCCATAGCCAGTATCATTCTCAATGGTGAAAAGCAGAAAGCATTTCCATTAATATCTGGAACAAGACAAGGATGTCCACTCTATCCCTATTCACAGATAATATGGTAATATAGAGAACCCCGAAAACTCCACAGAAAAACTAATTCAACTAATCAATCAGTTTAGTAAAGTGGAAGGATACAAAATCAACATGCAAAAATCAGTAGCTTTCCTATACACAAACAACAAATCTGAAGAAGAAATCAAAAAAACCAACCCTTTTATTATTGAAACAAAAAAAAATCAAATACTTGGGAATAAACCTAACAAAAGAAGTAAAGGACCTATACAAAGAAAACTATAAAATACTGTTAAAAGAAATAGAAGAAGGGGCCTCCCCTGGTGGCGCAACGGTTGAGCGCTGGGTTGCGAGGCTGCCCACAGTCTCTGCAGCACCAGTTTGATCCCCGGCCACCAGTGAGGGTCCCACAAAAAAAAGAAAAAAAAAAAAAAAGAAATAGTTGAAGACACAAAGAAATAGAAAGACAATGCCCTGATCATCGATTGAGAGAATTAACATTATCAAAATGGCCATCCTAATCCTACCAAAAGCAATTTACAGATTCAATGCTATTCCAGTAAAAATTTCAATGACATTCTTCCAGGAAATAGAACAATTATTGATGAAATTCATATGGAATCACCAAAAACCCCGAATAGCCAAAGCTCTCCTGAAAAAAAGAAGGGAACGGAGGCATCACACTCCCAGACTTCAAACTATACTACAAAGCCATAATCATCAAAACTGCATGGTATTGGTGGGCCTCCCCTGGTGACACAGCAGTTGAGCGCTGGGCTGGGAAGCTGCCCACAGCCTCTGCAGTGCTGGTTCGATCCCCGGCCACCAGCGAGGGTCCCACATGGCGCGCAGATCTCTTCTGCCGTGCCTGCTGCTCCCCTCAGCAGTCTACTTTGTCAGTCTGTCTGCTCTGCTCTCCTCTCTGACTCTGGTGAATTCTCTCACCCTCCCACGCTTCTGACTATACCCAGTGCTTGTATAAATAAATCAATAAATCTTTAAAAAAAATAAAAATAAAAAAAAAATAAAACTGCATGGTATTGGTAAAAGAACAGACAAACGGACCAATGGAACCGAACAGAAAATCCAGAAATAAACCCACAGATTTATGGTCAGCTAATCTTTGACAAAGGAGAAAAGAATATGCACTGGAGCAAAGAAAGTTTGTTCAATAAATAGTGCTGGGAAAACTGGGTCGCTACATGCAAAAGAATGACGCTTGACTACTACCTCAAACCATGCACAAAAACCAACTCAAAATGGATTAAAGAACTAGACATAAGACCTGAAGCCGGGCCTCCCCGGTGGCGCAGCGGTTGAGCGCTGGCTGGCGAAGCTGCCCGCAGCCTCTGCAGCGCCAGTTTGATCCCTGGCCACCAGGCGAGGGTCCCACATGGCGCGCAGACCTCTCCTGCCGCCCGCTGCTCCCCTCAGCAGTGTACTTCGGTCCTCTGCCTGCTCTGCTCCCCGCTCTGGCTCTGGTGAATTCTCTCACCCTCCCTTGCTTCTGACTGTACCCAGTGTATAAATAAATAAATAAATCTTTAAAAAAAAAAAAAAAAAAAGACCTGAAGCCATAAAATATATAGAAGGAAATATAGGCAAAACACTACATGACATACACCTCAAAGACATCTTTACAGATACATTACCCAAAGCAGTGATAGTGAAGGCAAAGATAAACAGCTGGGACTACATCAAATTAAAGAGCTTCTGCACAGCAAAAGAGATAATAACTGAAACAAAGAGAAACCCCACCAACTGGGAGAACATTTTGGAACACAACACTAATCATAAAGGACTGATCACAAAAATCTACAAAAAGCTGATGAGACTCAAAAAAAAACAAAGAAAATAATCCAGTCAAAAAATGGGCAGAAGAGCTAAAAAGAAACTTCTCCAAAGAGGAAATGCAAATGGCCAACAGGCATATGAAAAATGTTCAATTTCACTTGTAATCAGGGAAATGCAAATCAAAACTACAATGAGATACCATCTTACACCAGTGAGAATGGCACATATTAAAAAAACTAGCAACAACAAATGTTAGCGAGGGTGTGGAGGAAAAGGAACTCTCCTGCACTGTGGGTGTGGAGATTTCTTGACCTATTAAAGATAGAGCTTCCATATGATCCAGCAACTCCACTCCTAGGTATTTACCCAAAAGACACAGAAACATTAATTCCAAAGGGAACCTGCACCCCTATGTTTACAGCAGCACTATTTACAATAGCTAAGCTATGGAAACAACCCAAATGCCCAAAAATAGATGACTGGATCACACATACACAATGGAATATTACTCAGCAATCAAAAAAGATAAACTCATGCAATTTGCAGCAACATGGATGGAGCTGGAAGGGATCATGCTCAGCGAAATAAGCCAGAAAGAAAAAGAAAAATATTGGATGATTTCACTCATAGCAGGAATTTAGAAAACCTAAATAAGGAACCAGGAAAAAGACTAATTAATACAATGTAAAAATCAAAATCAACAGCAACTATAGACCAGAGACACACTACAGTGGGGGACAGGGGAGAGGAGAAGAGGGACTAGGGTCAGAAAAAGGGGGTGGGAGTTGTATGGGGAATATAACCAAAATGAAAATGCAAAATTATGCAAAAATGAAAAATGATGTAAGAATTATATAAAATAAAATAATTCATAACAGAAAAAATATGCTCAGACTGACCCCTCACTGCACCACCCCGCTGACAGGTGGGTGGCAAGATCAGCACCACCCCGCTCCCCATTCCGGTACTCACCCACAGCCATGGTGCAGAGAATCCTTTGTTGTCCTGCCCTCAGCTCTCCTCTTGGTCCCACCTGGGAGACCAGACTGGGTGTGCACAATGAAGTCCCTGCTCATGGAGAAAGATATACATGCTGAGGGCTGCAAAAGAAAACAGATGCTCCAGGACTGCCCAGCTTCCACATGGGCTCCATTCTGAGTGTGAAGGTGTCAGAGAGTAGGACAGGGAGAAAAGTGATCACACCCAATTTCTCCTGTACTCAGGGAAGCTCTATCACAAGGGCCCAAACCACAAACACCCTCCTCTGTGCCCATGGAGTGGAGGCCCTCCTCTCTGCCCCATGGAGTCCTAAAGGCCAGGGCCATGCTCAGTGAGACCCACACGTGTCCTGACTATGGAAAGGCAAGCCAGTGCAAGGGATGGAGCTCTGCTACCCTGCAAAAGTCAGTGTCCATAAGTCTGGTATTGTAAAGAGACAAATGTAAGCCCACATCACATCTTTCTTCAACAGCAGGAAGTTAAGAAGCATTTGACATGCAGGAAGGACCAAGCGATGCCAGCCTTACCCCTGGGGGCCAGAGTCCTGCAGTTGTCCAGTATCACGTATCTGCACAGGTTCTGCCAAGCACCATCCAACAACGTCCACTCCTGGAGGAGCCCCAACGCCACATCCTCAAAGGTGACTGATTCCTGACACAACACACAAACTGGCCTCAACAGGTTCATCCCCCACCACTCTGCAGGACTACTGGAGAAGGGAGACCCAACACAAGAACATTAAGATAGGAAGCTCTCTGCACGCCAGGGCTCAGCAAACCTGGCCAACCACCTGCAATTGTCAATAGTTTTATTGGCACACAATCACACCCTTTGTTTACCTTTTAGTTGTTTTTGTGCTAAAACAGCAGGATTGAGTAGCTGCTTTGACAGAGATCATATGGCCTAATTGGAAAATACTTGCAATATTGAACAATATTTGTTTTCAATTGCACAGGTCCACTCACATGCTGATTTTCTTGCAAACAGATGACATAAACTCACAGTATTGATATGGCGCAACACTATAAATGTATTTTTTCTTAAGGTTTTTGTAATAACATTTTTTTTCTATCTTACTTTATTGTAAGATTACAGTATGTAATAAATATAACATGCAAAACAGTGTTAACTGACTATATTGGTAAAGCTTCTAGTTAACAGCAGGCTTTTGGGCTTGATCTCTTCATTTGTGTGAAATATGGTCCTGACTTATATGTCTATCTGGTAACCTTTCACTTGTGTTAAAATAAGATTTCTGGATCAACATGGCAGTGAAGGGACACTGGGATCAAATTCTCCCATAAAAACATTGGATAAGGGACCTCCCCAATGGCGCAGTGGTTGAACGCTGGGTTGTGAAGCTGCCTGCAGCCTCTGCAGCACCGGTATGATCCCCCGCCACCAGCAAGGGTCCCACATGGCGCACAGACCTCTCCTGCCACCCACTGCTCCCCTCAGCAGTGTACTTCGTCAGTCTGGCTGTTCTGTTCCCCGCTCTGGCTCTGGTGTATTCTCTCACCCTCTCACGCTTCTGACTGTACCCAGTGCTTGTATAAATAAATAAATATATCTTTTTAAAAAAAAATCTGATAGGGAGAAATAACAGTGAGATCCTGGCAGGACCCAAAGGCGTTAGACAGACTTGGCAGCACCTGTGATTCACTTAGACTGCCGAGGAAATTTGGAAAGACGGGAAGGAAAGAGAGAAAATCATCGGAACCTTTCTCCCCTCCTCCACCCACAAAGCTGGCCCACTACATCTAGAAGTAAAGGAGGAAAAGCTTGAAGACAACAATCCAGGAGAATCCTGAGACATCTGAGGGGTGCAGATAATGAAAGGTAGGCAAGCGGGGCCTCCCCACAGACATACAATGGTAGGAGCAGACCCCTTTATTGTGGCTTCTCCCTCCCCCTCCTCCTGGAGACCATTGGGACCATTTAACCAGTCTGTCACACTTATGTGGGAAGGACATCAGGGGGAGCCTAACAGGACTGGATGCTACATTGGGGTACTCTTAGTATCCCAAGCCCTCGGAGAGGGAGGCTGCAGGAGCCCCATCACCCACCTAACTACCTCAGAGGCCCAGAAGGTATGCCAATCCTCCCACACCCACAGCTGCAGTTCATTCCACACCCTCTGTACTTGGTTTTTTTTCTGTTTTTTTTTTTTTTTCCTTTTTACCTACACTCCCTGGGGAAGACGATCCCACTCAGCCCTACAGTGGTCCCCAGCAGACGAGACTAAAACAGCAACAATTAGCTCACTGGGAACCATCTGAATCCTGAGAAGCAATTCTCCCCCCATCTGTTTCTGTTTGTCAGTCAGCTGGTCTGTTATTCCTTAACCTCTCTATTATTTCTGTTTTCTGAGTCTTCTATCTTTCTTCTTTCTCCCCTTCAACATTACCATCACCACTTGCTCTTCTCCTTCTGCTACATTGTCTCTGCCATTACCTCCTCTTTCCTCGTCCCCCCCTTTAGTCTCTTCCTTCGAATCACCTTTGTTCCTTCTACATTTTCATATCATCCTCCTCTTTCCTCTCATCCCTTCTTTCTCTCCTTATTCTCTTTTGATCCCAGTATTCTTCTGAGACACACCTAGAAGGGAACTAGCAGTTCAACAGAGAAATACACTCCACCCAGACTGCAGGCTCCTCCCAGTGAACTTGGCCTCAGCATGTATCTGGAGGCACAGGGCTCCACACAAGATTCTCGACTACCATGCACTGAGAATTCGGATCCCATCCTATGCAGTGGGGGCCGGAAAGCAGGAGCTCCTGGTGCAAAGCGTGGATGTGTCAGGCGTGAATGTGTTTGACATGGGTGAAGAAACAGCTCAGAACAACACCTACCATGATAGAAGAGGGTCTGGAAGTATTTCCAGCCACAGCAGCTCAGACATTAGGCAGATACATCCACGCCTGAGCATGAGAAATCACAAGTCATGCCCACCAGCACCAATGGTACAGCGGCACTACAAACAGAACAAAGGCTAACAACGGGAAGAAAGAAAATTACAAATGATCAAGCAGGCCCGTCTGGGAACAATACACCACAGAAAGAAATTCAATGTCCAGAACCTGATAACATGGATGCAAAAAAACATGTCCATCTAACAGACAAAGAATTCAAAAAGGCCATAATGAAAACAATTAAAGAGTTAAGAGAAAACGTAGAAAGAGGTAAGAATATAATCAATGAACTGAGGAAGAAAGTGAAGGAACTGGAAGATATCCAGAGATCAGCAGAGGAGCTCAAGAATTCGGGGAAAATGGGCCTCCCTGATGGCACAAGGGGTTAAGGCGCAACCTATGAAGCTGTCCACAGCCTCTACAACACGAGTGTGATTCCCCGGCCGGCTAGGAAGCAACCCACATGGTGCAGCAGACCTCTCCTGTTTCACCTGCTGCTCCCCTCAGCTGTGTATTTCAGTCAATCCACCTGTTCTGCTCCCCACTCTGTCTCTAGTAAATCCTCTCATGCCCCACACCTCTGGCCTGTACCCCAGTTCTTGTATGTATAAATAAATAAATCTTTAAAAAACAAAAAGAATTTGGGGAAAAGCCATGAAAACAGAATGGAAAAAATGGAAGAACAAATCAGTACTCTCAAAGATACAGACATAAAAAGAACCAAAAAAGAAAAGGAAAGAGAAGTACAAATAAAAATGAATGAAGAAATGCTTCAAGAACTGACACTAGTTCTTGAAGGAAAATTAAGAATCACAAATCCCAAAAGGTGAGGAGAGAGACCAAGGAATGGAGAAACTATTCAAGGAGATAACTGAAGAGAACTTCCCAAGCATGAAAAAGGAAATGAAAACAGACATACAGGGAGCTAGAAGAAGACCAAATTACCACCATAAAAGGAAAACGACAGCAAGACACATATAGTAAAGTTTCCAAAGGTCCAAGACAAGGAAAAAATAATGAAACTGACAAGGTGAAGAAAGAGATAACCTATAAAGGAAAACCTATCAGGCTAACATCAGACTTCTCCAACGATACACTAAGGGCAAGAAAAGAATAGAGTGACATATTTAACAAACTCCAAGTCAACAAATTCCAACCAGGAATACTCTACCCTGCAAAGCTCTCCTTCCTCTATGAAGAAAAAAATAAAAACCTTCTCAGATAAACAAAATCTCCAGAAATTCATTACTACTGAATCCCCACTCTAGAAATATTACAAGAAACCCTAAAGCCAAAACAAACAAAGGAATGAATAGGAAGAACAGACTAAGGTAAGGAATAGAATCACAAAAGGCAAACAAAATGGCTACTAAGGATGCCTGTGTATCAATATTAACTCTAAATGTAAATGGACTAAACTCATCAATAAAAAGACACAGAGTAGCAGGCTGGATTAAAAAACAGAACCCAAATATATAAAATAAATAAATAAATAATGGTTGATTACCTATTTGAAAAAAAAAAAACAGAACCCAACGTTTTGCTGTCTACAGGAAACACATTTAACTACAAAAGATAAACATAGATTGAAAGTAAAAGGTTGGAAAACTATCCTACAAGCAAATGGACAAAAAAAGAAGGCAGGAACAGCTATACTTACATCAGATAAAATAGACATCAAACTAAAAAAAGTAAAAAGAGACATAGATGGTCATTACATTATGATTAGGGGACAATATATCAGGAAGGCATAACACTCATCAACATATACTCACCAAATGAAGGCGCATCAATATATATCAGACAATTACCATCATCTCTGAAAACAGACATTAGAGAAAATCCATATGTAGTAGGAAACTTCAACACACCACTTTCACCAAAGGACAGATAAACAAGATAAAAAACAAGTAAGGACAACAAAGCTCTAAATAAGGACCTATACCTAGACCTCATGAGCTTAACAGACATCTATAGGACATTGTCCCTAAAAAAATCCGAGTACACATTTTTCTCTAGTACACACAGATGATTCTCTAAGATCAATCACATACTGAGACACAAGACAAACATCAACAGATAAACTAAGATCAAAACAATACCAACTATCTTCTCTGATCATAAAGGCATCACACTAGAAATAAACCATGAAAAGAAAGCAAGGAACCCTCCTATCTCCTGGAGATTGAAACCCACATTACTGGAAGACCATTGTATCAATGAGGAGATCAAAGAAGAAATTTAAAAATACCTCAGATGAATGACAATGAGAACACAAATCTACAGAATGTATGGGACACAGCAAAAGTAGTTATAAAAGGAAATATATAGCAATATAGGCTCACATCAAGAAAGAAGAATTCAAAAAACAACTTAATCCCCCATCTTAAAGAACTGGAAAAAGAACAAAAACAACAACAACAACAACAAAAAAAAAACCCAAAAGACAGTAGAAGAAAGGAAATAATAAAAACCAAAGCAGAAATAAAATGAAATAGAAGTTCAAAAAAATCCAAAAGATCAATGAAACCAAAAGTTGGTTCTTTGAAAAATAAACAAAATAGAAAAACCTCTAGTCAGGCTCACTAAGAAAAAACAGGAGAAAGCACAAAAAAATAGGATCATAAATGAAAGAGGATAAATTACCACAGACACAGCAGAAATCAAAAGAATAATCAGAGATTGCTATGAACAGTTATACGCAAACAAGTTCAATAATCTAGAAGAGATGAACAAATTCCTAGAACAATATAATCATCCAAAGCCAGATAAAGAAGAAATAGAACACCTAAACAGACCAATTACAAGCAGTGAAATTGAACAGTAATCAAAATCCTCCCCAAAACAAAGGCCAGGACCAGACAGCTTCACAAATGAATTCTACCAAACGTTCAGAAATGAACTAGTGCCTATTCTGCACAAATTCTTTCAAAAAATTGAAAAGGAATTGGGGGGTTGGGGGCGGGAGGGGAAGGATTGGGGTCAGAATGGGGCGTTTGCAATTGTATGGGGGAATATAAAAATAAAATTTAATATTAAAAAAATAATAATAATAAAAAATTTAAAAAAAAAATTGAAAAGGAAGGAATACAACCAAAAACATTACATAAAGCCAATATTACACTAATACCAAACACAAACAAGGAAAACACAAAAAAGGAAAACTACAAGCCAATCTCTCTAATGAACACTGATTCAAAAATCCTAGTCAACAGAATCAAACAATGCGTAAAAAGATAATTCACCATGACCAAGTGGGATTTATTTCTGGGGCACAAGGATGGTTCAACAACCGAAAATCAATAAATGTAATCCAACGCATCAACAAAAAGAAAAATAAAAACCATATGATCATATCAACAGATGCTGAGAAAGCATTTGACAAAGTTCAACATCCATTTATGATGAAGGTGCTCAAAATTCTCAGGATAGAAGAAACATACCTTAACATAATAAAGGACATAAACAAACCCCTAACCAATATCATTTTCTTTTTTTTTTTTTTTTTTTTTTTATAGAGGCATGCTTTATTTATTTGTTTGCTGGTTTGTTTGTTTGTTTTGTTTGTACATGCACTGGGTACAGTCAGAAGCGCGGGAGGGTGAGAGAATTCACCAGAGCCAGAGCAGGGAGCAGAGCAGGCAGAAGGACCGAAGTACACTGCTGAGGGGAGCAGCGGGCGGCAGGAGAGGTCTGCACGCCATGTGGGACCCTCCCCCGGTGGCCGGGGAGCAGCCGGGGATCGAACCGGCGCCGCAGAGGCCGCGTGCAGCTTCGCAACCCAGCGCTCAACCGCTGCGCCACCGGGGAGGCCCAATATCATTTTCAATGGTGAAAAGCTAAAAGCCTTTCCCATAAGATCGAGAACAAGACAAGGATGTCCACTCTCACCACTGCTGTTCAATATAATACTGGAAGTCCAGCCAGAGCAATAAGATAAGAGAAAGACACACAAGCAATACAAAAGGGAAAGAAGAAGTAAAACTATCACTGTTTGCAGATGATATGATAATATACACAGAGAATCCAAAAACTCCACAGGAAAACTAATCAAAATAATCAACCAGTTTAGTGAAGTAGCAGGACACAAACGACACAAAAATCAGCTGCCTTCCTGTGCACAAACAATCAATGTGAAAAAGAAATTTTTTAAAAATCCCTTTTATAATTGAAACAAAAAAAGTCAAATATCTGGGAATTAACCTAACAAAAGAGGTGAAGGACCTATACAAAGAAAACTATAAAATTTTGTTAAAAGAAATAGAAGACACAAGAAATGGAAAGACATCCCCTGCTCATGAATCAGAAGAACTAACATTATCAAATTGGCCATCCTACCGAAAGCAATTTACAGATTCAACACTATTCCAATAAAAATTTCAATGACATTCTTCAAAGAGATAGAACAAATATTGATGAAATTCATATGGAACCACAAAAAAACTCTGAATAGCCAAAGCTCTCCTAACCAAAAATAAGCAGAATGGAGGTATCACATGCCCAGACTTCAAACTATAGTACAAATCTATAATAATTAAAACTATGGTACTGGAACAAAAACCGACACACAGAACAATGGAATCGAATAGAAAACCCAGAAATAAACCCACAGATTTATGGAAAACTAATCTTTAACAAGGGTGCAAAGAATATGCAATGGAACAAGGACACTTTGTTCAATAAATAGTGCTGGGAGAACTGGACTGCTACAGGCAAAAAAATGAAGCTAGACTACTACCTCACACCATGAGCAAAAACCAACTCAAAATGGATAAAAGACTTGGACCTAAGACCTGAAACTATAAAGTATACAGAAGAAAGTACAGGTAAAACATTACAAGACATACATCTCAGTAACATCTTTAAAAATACATCCCCCAAAGCAAAGAAAGTGAAGGAAAAGATGAATAGGTGGGACTACATCAAATTTAAAAGCTTCTATACAGCAACAGAGACATTAACCAAAACAAAGAGATACCCTACTGACTGGGATAAAATTTTTGCACACAATACTAATGAAAAGGGAGTGATTACAAAGATCTACAAAGAACTCACACACTCAACAAAAACAAAGTAAACAATCCAGTCAAAAAATGGACAGAAGAGCTGAAAAGACACTTCTCCAAAGAGGAAGTGCAAACGGCCAAGGGGCATATGAAAAAATGTTCAATATCATTTGTAATCAGGGAAATGCAAATCAAAACCACAATGAGATACCACCTTACACCAGTGAGAATGGCACATATTTAAAAAACAGGAAAAAACAAATGTTGGCAAGGATGTGGAGAAAAAGGAACTCTCCTACACTGCTGGTGGGAATGAAAACCGGTCCAACCTCTATGGAAAGCTGTATGGAGGTTCCTCAGTCTACTAAAAATGGAGGTTCCATATGACCCAGCAATTCCACTCCTCAGAATCTACCCAAAGGACACAAAAACACTAATTCAAAAGGATACCTGCACCCCTATGTTTATTGCAGCACTATTTACAATAGGTAAGATATGGAAATAACCCAAATACCTCAAAATAGATGACCGGATCAAGAAGATATGGTGTATATATACACAATGGAATATTATTCAGCAATCAAAAAAGATAAATTCATGCCATTTGCAGCAACATGGATGGAACCACAAGGGATTATGCTCAATGAAATAAGCCAGAAGGAAAAAGAAAAATATTGTATAAGTGAAATCGTATATTGTATAAGAAAAATATTGTATAAGTGAAATCGAGGAATGTAGGAGAACCAAATAAGGGACCAGGGGAAAAAAATAATTATAAATTAAAAAACAAAATCAACAGGCAACTATTAATCAGAGACACTCTGCAGGGGAAGGGGAGGGATCAAAACAGGGGAGGGAATGTGTTATTACACAGGGGACTATGGTGATAGTGCACAGGTGAATTAGTGTGAGAACTTTGCAGGGACTATACCTGAATGATGTAAAATATATATTAAATTAAATTAAATTTTTAAAAAAATAAGATTTCTGTTGTCTGAAAAACTCCATGAGCTTTTAGTTTCAGGATTCTCTCGAGCAGCTCTGTGCCATAGAATTCTCTGTGAAAAAGGAATGTTCTATTCTGTCCTCTCCAAAAAGGCAGCCACCAGCACTTGTGGCCATTGAGCAGTAGAGAAATGTGGCTTAGGCAACTGAAAAACTAAGTTTTTTTTTTTTTATTTGATTTCAGTTAATTTAAATTTGAATTTATACAACCACATATGCTTTCCGTAGGTCTCACAACGGGTAGCGGGAAGGAGCTCTGCAGCTGCCGTCTAGAAATGAGACCTGTACTGCAGATTTTAGGATTAGGACAGAGTCCCACATCACTGTGGGAACCCTCCTCCTATGCCTGTTTCTCTAGAAGTCATGCACTAAAAGAGATCTCCAGGTCCCTTCATTAGGGCTAAGAAGCTCCACACTTCTCCTCTGCTTGCTACCTGAACTGAGGGGTGGAGAGAGGGAAAAGGACCCAGAGTACATAATTTCCACTCCAATACCACCATCCTGATTCCTCCAACACACTCACCATAACACCAGAGCCAGGGTTTCAGGCATCCTCCCTGAAATAAAAAGAGAATGAGGTCAAAGAAGTACAACATCAAGCAGGGATCAAATTGCAGTAATTACATTTTTGTGGGCTACAACTAGGGCAGCCAAGTGAAAAAGCCTTACGTGGAATTTAGCTCAAAAATGGATCCAAATTCTCTAAATTATACCTCCAATATGTCTCAAACATTCCAACTTTTCCAATACCACAATCATTATCAAGTCCCAGCTACCATCATCTGAGTTCAGAATTTATTCAAACTACTATATATATGGAGTCATCATATACATATAGATTAAAATGGATTACCCATTCACTCTAATCCATCCTAAACTCCATGCTCAATCCAGGAGTTAGCATTTTGTTCAAGTAACAAAATCATCTCGCTTCCAAACCAAAATTCTGATTCAGTGGCTTTCCAAAGACCTTAGAACAAGATCCAAAATTTCCCATAACCTCCAGGATCCTGCTTCCTCTACAACCTGATTTATCCATTCTACACTTCGTTTTCTCTGCATTACCTTTCTGTGTCTTTTCTCAAGCTGTGCGCTGCCTGAGCAATTGTGCATCTGGAATGTACTCTCAAATCTCCTCCCCACTCTTAATTCCACAGCCACAATCATTATCAGCCAACCCCTTGCTGGATACATCTTTTAGGTTCAAATATTTGTCCCTTTGAAGATGTGTTCCTCCCCAAGCTCCCCTGCTCTATGTTCCCACATCACTCTCATCATTATTAATTTAAAATTTGTCTTCTCAGCCAAAATAAAACCTCTGCAGGAGGAAGTATCAACTCTATTTGGGTTACATTGATTGACCCCCTCTCTCCTTTCTCTCCCTCTCCAAAGGAGAGGTGGCGCAGGCGGTTGAGCGCTGCACTGTGAAGCTGTCCGCAACCTCTGCAGCCAGGGAGCAACCCACATGGAGCAGCGGACCTCTCCTGTCTCTCCTGCTGCTCCCCTCAGCAGTGTATTTCAGTCAGTCTGCCTGTTCTGTTCTCCACTGTTTCTGGTGAATCCCCCACACACACACAACTTCTGGCCTGTACCCTGGTTCTTGTATGCATAAATAAATATATCTTTAAAAAAAAAAAAAAAGATAACCCCAATGAAAATGTATTAATCAACACTATCCGCGATTAATTCAGTATAGCTAGCCTAAGGAAGGCCCATGCCTGCATACATACACACACACACACACACACACACACACACACACACACACGATATACCACAAAAATCAAATATAAAAGTGACTTAAAATGCCTGTGTAACATAAATCACAATATTAGATATCAGAAAGCGCTAAGAAATATCTCAATTTGAATACTAAAAAAGGCTTATGTCATCTTTTCCTTCATGTGGTTTTGATTGTAATTTACAGTATTAAGGTAACAGTCAAGGGGGAAAAAGTGAATAGTCTTACTTTTCCTTTATGATAAGACTTGTAAAACAACTGAGAAATAGCTTTTAAGATATCCTCACCTCTCAGTTGGTGGAGGGCAAGGGAGAATTGATGCCCAAGGTCAAAATAAAAATCACAAATTAAAAGCTCTTTTAAAAGAAAGAAAACAAAGGAAATGGAAATGAAAGCTAAATTAACAGTTCCTAAACTATCTAATTCATCCCGTGCTAGAAGATGCGTCCCATTTTTCAAATTCACTCGACAAGTCACTCATCGATTTACACATGTAGACTCAGACCTAACTTTCCAGTTGCGGAGCTAGATGCTATGAAGTGACATGAATGACAGGTGAGTTACTAATAAGGTTATCTTGCATCAGGTGAGGGGATGGGGTCCCACAGTGCGGGGAGGTCGGGTGTGGGATGTGGATCGGCCGGCATCACCATGCCCGAGCTGCAAAACCTGCACCGTTACGGTGTCCCCAAGGACTGGGGATGAGGGCCCCGTCTACCCGCCGGGTGTGCCCGAGAGGGGCGGGCGCGGCCGGGGGCACCCAGCTGTGAGGCGGAATTGTCGGGCCCCATTCCAGCCCCGAGGGACTGCGGAGGTGAAGCCCCTGGACCAGCCCCTGGACCCGGCGGCTGTCCAGGCCCTTCCGGCAGCTCACCGCCCCCGCCGCGCCCTCCCCGCCCCCCAGGGGGCTGGGCCACACCTGCACACCGGCCGGAGACACCCCCACCGCCGGGGCCGCGAGGCCCGCGCCGCCGCCGCCGCCGGTCGCCGCCGGTCGCCGCCGCGCACTTCCGCTTCCGGTTTCGGGACCGCCGGGAGCGGAAGCAACTGGGGTGCTAGATGGCGGTGGAAAGCCTAGCTCCTTTGTCACGCAGCCACGGAGGAGAGAGTCTAGCGTTTCTATTCGGGGGAGTGTGTGGGTTTGGCTAGGCAGGCCTGAGGGACGCTTGGCGGAGGTTCGACCGCCCCTGGAGAGTGAAGTTGGGGCGGGGCCTAAGCCCGGGACCGGGTTGGGGCGGAGCTTAAGTGTGCCGGGCGGTGGGGGCGGGACTCTCGCTCGGTGGGCGGGGAATGGGGCGAGCTCGCCGCCGCCGAGGGGGTAGTCGGTGTGTAACTCACCCCTCTCGCCCGCCTCCTCTGCCCACCTCTGCTTTTTTCCTTTGGCTTGATCCAATACGCTACAAAAACATATCCGTACATAAGATTTGCTTTTCAGTATAATTCCTTATGAAATAGTTTTTTTCTACACGTTTATAACCAAAAATAAATAGCAAAAAAAAAGTTCAAGACAATAGTGTGACTGATCATTTCTAACTATATGTTTCTTACATTGTATTGAAAATACCTATACACAGGAAGTTTAAGGGGGGAGGGAGGAGCTCTCATTTGATCCCTAAATTTCCCTCCCTAGAAACAACCGCTCTAACCAGATCCCTGATATTCTTTATGTTCCAAGCATGAGTATGTGTTATTCCTTCACTAAGTATCTATATACCATCAGTTGATTGCTACATACCAGGTGCTGTGGTTACAGTAACACTCCATAGGGAAATGGAGAAAGAAGTTGATTCATAAAACTAACTAAATAAAACTAACTCAACACATTGTAATATGTGCTTCATTAATAGAATATTTTAATTGATGGGATTTAGACGGGAAATCATAAATTTGGCATGGTTGAAAGTGGGTCTTGAAGGATGACTACTTAGTTATGGGGTATTGGAAACATTGCAGGTTGGGGATTATAGTGTGAGCAAAAAGATACGGGGGAAATGCATGTTCTGGGGACAGAGTAATTAGTTAATGGCTAGAGATTAAGGGTTTGTGTGTGCTGTTGTCGCAGTGTGACTCAATAAGATAAACCAAACCAGGAACTGAAGCAGGGGCAGAGAGGGCCACAAAAGAGGCCACAAGGCAGGAAGCCCGATGGAAGTATGGAACAGCCACCCACCTGCCCAGGCTCTAAGACCAGAGCCACCAAAAAACCCCCAAAGGGTAAAAACCAAGAGCTATAGCCTCACAAAGAACAGTGCCCCATAAGAGGACAGATCACTATCTGTGGGTTCTCACCCGTGCACACAATGCAAGAAACCTTAGACTCCAGGAACAACCATGGGGTTTATTTTACAAAGAGGGGAAACAAAGAGCTCACTGTATCCAAAAGTGGCTGCTACTTCACCCAGGTAGCATCAGTGATGGTATCCACCGGTCACCAGGAATGCTGGACAGCACTAGCCAGTAGTGATGGCCACTACTGCTCCTGCAGAGCTGGTGTCAGAGACACCCAGTGTTAACAGCTCTTTTTGAATTGTTGGGCTACACCAACAACTAACAGATCTTTGAGACACCAGGCCCAGGGCCTTTGGTGCTCCTTTCAGGCAATGTCTGAGACAGGACGGAGGCCCAGTCTGACAGAGTCCTTCGGCTTCTCTTCCCTCCTCAGATGGAGGTTGGTGGATGCTTTTTTTTCTTCTTTCTTCAGAGGTTGGAAACCTATTTTCTTCAGGGATTGGCAACATCTCTTCCTCTCTAGGGGATGGGGAGTCTCTCCCTTCAGCTCCCTCCAACCCTGGCTATATCCTCTTTCATGGTGCCCCACCCACAAGTCTGATTGGTCTATTCCACAACCCAGGAAATGCACTTTATATAAAAGGGCTCTGAGGAGCAACTGCCACAACTGACTTATGGTGAGAGGCTGGGTCCTGGTAACAAAAGTCTGATTGGACCAGTTAGCACCAATCAGCTCATAGCTCATGCCTGATTGGTCCATTCCATGATCCAGGAAGTACACTATTACATAAAAGGTCTCTGAGGCACAACTGGTACAACTGACAAAAAGGCAGTTAATTAGCTCTGAGGAGCAACTGCCACACCAACTTGTCGTGGGGCAGCAGGTTGAAAATACCGTTGCTCCTGCTGGCTCCCACCACTGAGACAGCTGGGTTCCAGTAACAGAATCACAGTAGATAGATCTAAGAATTGAACTTATTTAAAGGCAGAGGCCAGCTCCTGGGAGCAAAGCCACAGGAGTTAAAGAAATAGGCCAGCTCCTGCCAGTAGCAAGCAGGCCTGAGATTTATTGAGGACAGATAAGCAAAGATAATCTCCTGAACACTGGAGGGGTACTGAATGGGTAGCCACTAGTGAAGACAACTTCCAGGGTTTTATAGTTGTTTTGGGTCTAGGGAATGAACCATGGTGGTCTTGCAGTTTCTTAATCGGTCAACCTTGTTCCATGTCCTAACATAGATTAACCAGTAATAGTGGTTAATCAAGTGGTTAACAATGGCAGCTTTTATCTTGGTTTTGATTTTGCTCTTTTCTTCCCAGGCTTGTCTGGCTGTTTCTGACCATTTTCTATGGGTCCCCGCTAGAAGGTGCTTTAGACTTGTGGCAGGCTTTCAGGCCTTGCTTTGGGCTAACCCTGTTTGGCTGGACATTTACCCATGAGGACATGGGTAACTCCGGATGCTAGATTTGGAAACTACATTCTTTGTCTTGTCTGTATTGCACACTAATTGTATTAAAGTTCCTTTCCATTATATGTATTAAAGTTCCTTTCCATTATATGTTCCATTATATGTTTTGTCTTGATGCGGCAGACGGCAGAGCCTATTTAGAGTGGCAGGTTTGGGGGTTCTGGGGTGCCCCACTCCCTGTCCTGTAACATTTTCTCTCCTGTTTTGTCTCCCAGGGGCCCCATGTCTCCCAGGCTCCCTGTCCTTATCCCTCCTATTATGTATATCAGGGCCCCAGTCTCTATCTTTTTGTCAAGGTCTAACCCCTCAATAGGATTAGACAAATAGATCAAAATAACTCAGAAGGACACTCAGGTTCTATGGACAGTCAGTGTGTGATAGATGGGATGGAATACTTTAAATGTTGATGAGGAGGGCCTCCCCAGTGGCGCAGTGGTTGAGCGCTGGGTTGCGAAGCTGCCTGCGGCCTCTGCGGCGCCAGTTCGATCCCCGGCTGCTCCCCGGCCACCGGAGGAGGGTCCCACATGGTGCGCAGACCCCTCCTGCCACCCACTGCTCCCCTCAGCAGTGTACTTCGGTCCTTCTGCCTGCTCTGCTCCCCGCTCTGGCTCTGGTGAATTCTCTCACCCTCCCGCACTTCTGACTGTACCCAGTGCATGTATAAACAAACAAACAAACAAATAAATAAATAAAACATGCCTCTATTAAAAAAAAATGTTGATGAGGAAGTTAATATTCTAACTTTCTGGGTTTGGAGCTGGAAAGTAATTAAATTGGCACAATAGAAATTATCAGGAGAAAAGATCAACTTCAGTTTGTATGAGAGTCCTAAGACTATGAATCCACCTTCTGGTGTAGTTTATAGTAACCCACCTTCTGGTGTAGTTTATAGTATCCAGAAAGGAGACAGTAAAACACATAATAATATAATTTTTAAAAAACATAAAAAAAAACTTTTAAGATATTAGAAGAAAATATAGGGATATTCCTAACAGATTTTGCTTTATATTTTTCAAAGATGTGGTATTAATTGCATGGCATAATGCTTAAGAATTATGATTTGGGATACTTAAGAGCCCACCTACCTCTTCTCTGTGCTTCAATTATTTTAACTATTGAATGGGGGCAATAATGAAATTGTATTCTAAGGACTAGATGATGTAATGTCTTCATGTAAAGCACTCAGTGTGTGACATGTCGTAAGTGCTCCATAAATATCTGCTATTATCATTATGATTTTTGACGAAATAATCTTAACCTTTAAGTCTCTGTTTAAAATTCATCTTGTTTCTTTTTTTTAAGATTTATTTATTTTTATACAAGAATCGGGGTACAGGCCAGATGTGCGAGAGGGTGAGAGGATTCACCGGATACAGAGTGGGGAACTACAGGCAGACTGAAGAAATACACTGCTGAGGGGAGCAGGGGGCGAGATAGGAGATGCTTCGCCATGTGGGATTCTTGCCCACCGGCAGGGATTGAGCAGCGCTGCAGAGGCTACAGACAGCTTCACAGTGCGGCACTCAACTGCCTGTGCCATCAGGGAGGCCCTACCTTGTTTCTTGTTTCTAATATTGACATACCAGTCTTGCTATTATTAGTATTTGTCTGCTATGTCTGTTATTTTCAACCTCTTTGCCATTTCATCTTAAGTTACATCTTTTATAAATAGTACATAGTGGGATTTTGCTTTTTTTAAAAGTCTGAGTAAATATTTCACAATATAGTTACAAGAATTAATTATACAGCAACACACTTAGTTTTCTCCCCATGGTATCTATCTGATTTTATTCCCAACAACTAATTCTAAGAAAATGTATTTTTAATAAAATAAGGGAATGAGAATAATATTTTAATGCCATGAAAGTATTTTCCCTGAAAGAGGAAATAAATTAACCAGATTAACGCCATTTTAAATGTGAAAAAACTAAGATTGAGTAAAATGAGTCAACCTGACTTAAAGCACTGAGCACAGACAAGGCATACCCTATACATTTATTTGTTGGATGGATGCACAGATACAGATAGCTAA